CTACTCTTCACTGGACCTCTGATGTTCAGACAGTGTTCTCTGATTGTGTCTATGGCACCTCTACTCTTCACTGGACCTCTGATGTTCAGTGTTCTCTGATTGTGCCTATGGCACCTCTACTCTTCACTGGACCTCTGATGTTCAGACAGTGTTCTCTGTGTCTATGGCACCTCTACTCTTCACTGGACCTCTGATGTTCAGACAGTGTTCTCTGATTGTGTCTATGGCACCTCTACTCTTCACTGGACCTCTGATGTTCAGTGTTCTCTGATTGTGCCTATGGCACCTCTTCTCTTCACTGGACCTCTGATGTTCAGTGTTCTCTGATTGTGTCTATGGCACCTCTACTCTTCACTGGACCTCTGATGTTCAGTGTTCTCTGATTGTGTCTATGGCACCTCTGCTCTTCACTGGACCTCTGATGTTCAGTGTTCTCTGATTGTGTCTATGGCACCTCTACTCTTCACTGGACCTCTGATGTTCAGTGTTCTCTGATTGTGTCTATGGCACCTCTGCTCTTCACTGGACCTCTGATGTTCAGTGTTCTCTGATTGTGCCTATGGCACCTCTGCTCTTCACTGGACCTCTGATGTTCAGTGTTCTCTGATTGTGCCTATGGCACCTCTACTCTTCACTGGACCTCTGATGTTCAGACAGTGTTCTCTGATTGTGTCTATGGCACCTCTACTCTTCACTGGACCTCTGATGTTCAGTGTTCTCTGATTGTGCGTATGGCACCTCTACTCTTCACTGGACCTCTGATGTTCAGTGTTCTCTGATTGTGTCTATGGCACCTCTACTCTTCACTGGACCTCTGATGTTCAGTGTTCTCTGATTGTGTCTATGGCACCTCTACTCTTCACTGGTTCTATTCTGCATTTCCTTCCGTACCTTTCGCTCCAGTATGTTGTTATTCTACTGTGTACATTACGGACCTGACCCTCCAGTATCTTCCACGTATATATTATTTGGTATCTCTCTCGTCTCCTTTCTAGAGAGAACATTTTGAGAGCTTTGAGACGGTCCCAATAATTGAGGTGTTTTATCGTGTCTATGCGGGGGGGGAGAGACCCCACTAACCACCCCCCCCACCCCACTAACCAACCCCCCCACCCCACTAACCAACCCCCCCACCCCACTAACCAACCCCCCCACCCCACTAACCAACACCCCCACCCCCCCACTAACCAACCCCCCCACCCCACTAACCAACCCCCCCACCCCACTAACCAACCCCCCACCCCACTAACCAACCCCCCCCACCCCACTAACCAACCCCCCCCACCCCACTAACCAACCCCCCCACCCCACTAACCAACCCCCCACCCCACTAACCAACCCCCCCCCACCCCACTAACCAACCCCCCTACCCCCACTAACCAACCCCCCTACCCCACTAACCAACCCCCCACCCCCACTTACCAACCCCCCCCCCACCCCACTAACCAACCCCCCCACCCCACTAACCAACCCCCCCACCCCACTAACCAACCCCCCCCACCCCACTAACCAACCCCCCCCCCACCCCACTAACCAACCCCCCCACCCCACTAACCAACCCCCCACCCCACTAACCAACCCCCCTACCCCCACTAACCAACCCCCCTACCCCCACTAACCAACCCCCCTACCCCACTAACCAACCCCCCACCCCACTAACCAACCCCCCCCCCCCACTAACCAACCCCCCCACCCCACTAACCAACCCCCCCCACCCCACTAACCAACCCCCCACCCCACTAACCAACACCCCCACCCCACTAACCAACCCCCCCACCCCACTAACCAACCCCCCCACCCCACTAACCAACACCCCCACCCCACTAACCAACCCCCCACCCCACTAACCAACCCCCCCACCCCACTAACCAACCCTCCACCCCACTAACCAACCCCCCACCCCACTAACCAACACCTCCACCCCACTAACCAACCCCCCACCCCACTAACCAACCCCCCCCACCCCACTAACCAACACCCCCACCCCACTAACCAACCCCCCACCCCACTAACCAACCCCCCCACCCCACTAACCAACCCCCACCCCACTAACCAACCCCCCCCCCCCCCCACTAACCAACACCCCACCCCACTAACCAACCCCCCACCCCACTAACCAACACCTCCACCCCACTAACCAACACCTCCACCCCACTAACCAACCCCCCACCCCACTAACCAACACCTCCACCCCACTAACCAACACCTCCACCCCACTAACCAACCCCCCACCCCACTAACCAACACCCCACCCCACTAACCAACGCCCCACCCCACTAACCAACGCCCCACCCCACTAACCAACCCCCCCACCCCACTAACCAACACCCCACCCCACTAACCAACACCCCACCCCACTAACCAACCCCCCACCCCACTAACCAACCCCCCACCCCACTAACCAACCCCCCCACCCCACTAACCAACACCCCACCCCTCTAACCAACACCCCCACCCCACTAACCAACACCCCACCCCACTAACCAACCAACACCCCCACCCCACTAACCAACACCCCCACCCCACTAACCAACACCCCACCCCACTAACCACTACCCCCCACCCCACTAACCAACCCCCCACCCCACTAACCAACCCCCCCACCCCACTAACCACCCCCCCACCCCCCACTACCCCCCACTAACCAACCCCCCACCCCACTAACCAACACCCCCACCCCACTAACCAACAGGACCAGCTCCACCTAGCGACAGGGGTGCCAACTGAAGAGCGGGGGACCCCGTCCCATGTTTAAATATTCAATTCTTCTTCACTCGACTGAAAAATGGCAGGATGGGGGGGGGGGTGTGGGTCGGGGGGGGGGGGGTTGGGGGGTGAAGAGAAGAGGACGAAATGTTGAAAGTGTGAGGAAGGGTGAGAAGGGGGGGGGAGTGGGGGAGGGAATGGAGGGGGAAGACTTGTGAGAGTTTGGTCCACCAGGCTGTTGCTTGGAGCGGCCCGCAGGCCCACATATACCTGGTTGATGGGGTTCTGGGAGTTGTTCTACTGCCCAAGCCCGGCCCGAGGCCAGGCTTGACTTGTGAGAGTTTGGTCCACCAGACTGTTGCTTGGAGCGGCCCACATACCCACTACAGTCTGGTTGGTCCAGCACTTCTTGCAAGAACTTGTCTAAGTGCCTCTTGAATACATCCACCTTTGTTCCGGCAATATTTCTAATGCTTGCTGGGAGGGTGTTGAACAGCTGTGGACCTCTGATGTTCAGTGTTCTCTGATTGTGCCTATGGCACCTCTACTCTTCACTGGACCTCTGATGTTCAGTGTTCTCTGATTGTGCCTATGGCACCTCTACTCTTCACTGGACCTCTGATGTTCAGTGTTCTCTGATTGTGCCTATGGCACCTCTACTCTTCACTGGACCTCTGATGTTCAGTGTTCTCTGATTGTGTCTATGGCACCTCTACTCTTCACTGGACCTCTGATGTTCAGTGTTCTCTGATTGTGTCTATGGCACCTCTACTCTTCACTGGACCTCTGATGTTCAGTGTTCTCTGATTGTGCCTATGGCACCTCTACTCTTCACTGGACCTCTGATGTTCAGACAGTGTTCTCTGATTGTGCCTATGGCACCTCTACTCTTCACTGGACCTCTGATGTTCAGTGTTCTCTGATTGTGCCTATGGCACCTCTACTCTTCACTGGACCTCTGATGTTCAGTGTTCTCTGATTGTGCCTATGGCACCTCTACTCTTCACTGGACCTCTGATGTTCAGTGTTCTCTGATTGTGCCTATGGCACCTCTACTCTTCACTGGACCTCTGATGTTCAGACAGAGGTGCCATAGGCACAATCAGAGAACACTGTATGAACATCAGAGGTCCAGTGAAGAGTAGAGGTGCCATAGACACAATCGGAGAACACTGAACATCAGAGGTCCACAGCTGTTTAACACCCTCCCAGCAAGCATTAGAAATATTGCAGGAACAAAGGTGGATGTTTTCAAGAGACAACCAGATAAGTTCTTACAAGGAGTGCCGGACCAACCGGGCTGTGGTGGGTATGTGGGCCTGCGGGCCGCTCCAAGCAACAGCCTGGTGGACCAAACTCTCACAAGTCAAGCCTGGCCTCGGGCCGGGCTTGGGCAGTAGAACAACTCCCAGAACCCCATCAACCAGGTATATGTGGGCCTGCGGGCCGCTCCAAGCAACAGCCTGGTGGACCAAACTCTCACAAGTCAAGCCTCAGGCTAGGCCTGGGGCAGTAGAACAACTCTCAGAACCCTCCTCAGGTATACTCCAGGTATACCCGGAAACTACTCAAGGTAGTAATCCGTATTACGACGGATTCAATTAATTAATAAGATCCCCAATTAATAAGTCAATTAAAACCATTTAAATTGCATACTGCCTTGCCAAACACACGACCAAACTACGACCTTCCTACAACCTTCGAACAACATTAACACCTTCCAACAACCAATATAGCACGTTGTAGCAACGTTCCCATACATCATAAAAATGTTATACCAAGCTGTAACAACTTTATTACACGGTGTAACAAGGGACTCACAGGGAACGTTACGTTTGTAGGAAGCTCCTCCTTCCAGAAAGCCGGCTGTGCGGGTCTGGAGGCTGCCCGAGTCTGGTCCGGGATTATGTTACAGTCTAAGATGACCTAAAGTCCATGTTTTGTATCGTTACCTCTTTGTTAATGTAACAGCCGGGTGAGTCTAATCACCTAGTTGATTCTCCTAACTGCTGCCTTACAGCGAATTGCACAGGAGCCGGAAGAGGCCATTAGTGCGTATTCACTGCTAAGATTTGTACGTATTAACTGCTAAGATTTGTACGTATTAACTGCTAAGATTTGTACGTATTCACTGCTAAGATTTGTACGTATTCACTGCTAAGATTTGTACATATTCACTGCTAAGAGGAAGACGAAGGGAGAGCACAAACCGTGAAATGGATAAGACGAAAATGAGGAGGCAAGATGAACTATGAGATGGGGTAATAGGAAGACCAAGATGGCGGCGGTATACAGTGACCAGTACCAGAGGAAGACCAAGATGGCGGCGGTATACAGTGACCAGTACCAGAGGAAGACCAAGATGGCGGCGGTATACAGTGACCAGTACCAGAGGAAGACCAAGATGGCGGCGGTACTTACAGTTTCTCGAGGGCGGGCAGGTGGGACAGGATGCCGGCGGGTAGTCGGGTAAGGCCACTCCCAGACAGGTCTCTGTGGATGAACACAAATGGTCAGTGCCTCAATATGTTACAGTCATTCATTACTAAGTAAATACATGGCATGGATACGTATACTCACACATGGGTACATATGCCCACATGTATATATACACACACACACACACACACACACACACACACACACACACCACACACACAGGAAGCAGCCCGTAGCAGCTATCTAACTCCCAGGGTACCTATTTACTGCTAGGTGAACAGTGGCATTAGGGTGAAAGTGAGAGACTGCCCATTTGTTTCCGCCTTCGCCGGGGATCGAACCCGGACCCTAGGACTACGAATCCCAAGCGCTGTCCACTCAGCCGTCAGGCCCCTGGATAAACCTGTGTGTATATGCGCCTGGCTTTGTCACTCCCCCTAACTCCCCTCTCACACACTAACTCCCCCTAACTCCCCTCTCACACACTAACTCCCCCTAACTCCCCACTCACACACTAACTCCCCCTCACTCCCCACTCACACACTAATTCCCCCTAACTCCCCACTCACACACTAACTCCCCACTCACACACTAACTCCCCCTAACTCCCCTCTCACACACTAACTCCCCTCTCACACACTAACTCCCCCTAACTCCCCTCTCACACACTAACTCCCCCTAACTCCCCACTCACACACTAACTCCCCCAAACTCCCCACCCACACACTAACTCCCCACTCACACACTAACTCCCCTCTCACACACTAACTCACACTAGCCTAACAGTTCCCGCCAGAATAACTACCACACACCCGCCATTTTCCACAAAATAACGGATACGGCACAGAATTTGCAACACAAATGACCAACTTTACTCTGCAACTTTATTTCAACCACAGTACATTTTTGGCGGGAAGGAAAGTCGGAAAAGTTTAAAGTTTCTTCCCGCTAAATGTAGCAGTCGGAGAGAGCTCGCCGGAGACCTAACTTGCGACGTTCTTTGTTTACATTTGTTGGCCCTTTGGCGGGTAAATGCGCGCGTTTTTTGTTCGAATCCCAACTGAATATTGGCGCGCTTAACGGTTCTTGTTTTGTGTAGTGAGGAAGGTGGTGGTGGTTGGTGCTGTGTTCCCACCACACTACTACTTCATCTACCACCATCTACCACCGTCTACTACCATCTACCACACCGCCAGTGCGCTACACGCTGTGGGTCTGACCTGAGTATCAGGTGATTGACAAGTATGTATCGGCTCCTGGCCTGGTAACGGGCAAGGGGGCCATTACTGTCATCACTGTTTGCCTGCTTGCTTGGCGGCCTGCCTGCCTGCCTGCCTGCTTGGCGGCCTGCCTGCCTGCCTGCCTGCTTGCTTGGCTGCCTGCCTGCTTGGCGGCCTGCCTGCCTGCCTGCCTGCATGCTTGGCGGCCTGCCTGCCTGCCGGCCTGCCTGCCTGCCTGCCTGCATGCTTGGCGGCCTGCCTGCCTGCCTGCCGGCCTGCCTGCCTGCCTGCATGCTTGGCGGCCTGCCTGCCTGCCGGCCTGCCTGCCTGCCTGCCTGCCTGCCTGCCGGCCTGCCTGCCTGCCTGCATGCCTGCCTGCCTGCCGGCCTGCCTGCCTGCCTGCCTGCCGGCCTGCCTGCCTGCCTGCCTGCATGCTTGGCGGCCTGCCTGCATGCTTGGCGGCCTGCCTGCCTGCCTGCTTGGCGGCCTGCCTGCTTGGCGGCCTGCATGCTTGGCGGCCTGCCTGCATGCTTGGCGGCCTGCCTGCATGCTTGGCGGCCTGCCTGCCTGCTTGGCGGCCTGCCTGCTTGGCGGCCTGCATGCTTGGCGGCCTGCCTGCATGCTTGGCGGCCTGCCTGCATGCTTGGCGGCCTGCCTGCCTGCCTGCTTGGCGGCCTGCCTGCCTGCCTGCTTGGCGGCCTGCCTGCCTGCATGCTTGGCGGCCTGCCTGCCTGCATGCTTGGCGGCCTGCCTGCCTGCCTGCCTGCCTGCCTGCTTGGCGGCCTGCCTGCCTGCCTGCCTGCTTGGCGGCCTGCCTGCCTGCATGCTTGGCGGCCTGCCTGCCTGCCTGCTTGGCGGCCTGCCTGCCTGCCTGCTTGGCGGCCTGCCTGCCTGCCTGCTTGGCGGCCTGCCTGCCTGCCGGCCTGCCTGCCTGCCGGCCTGCCTGCCTGCCGGCCTACTTGGCGGCCTACTTGGCGGCCTACTTGGCGGCCTGCCTGCCTGCCTACTTGGCGGCCTGCCTGCCTGCCTGCTTGGCGGGCTGCCTGCCTGCCTGCTTGGCGGGCTGCCTGCCTGCCTGCCTGCCTGCTTGGCGGGCTGCCTGCCTGCCTGCTTGGCGGGCTGCCTGCCTGCCTGCCTGCCTGCTTGGCGGGCTGCCTGCCTGCCTGCCTGCCTGCTTGGCGGCCTGCCTGCCTGCCTGCTTGGCGGGCTGCCTGCCTGCTTGGCGGCCTGCCTGCCTGCTTGGCGGCCTGCCTGCCTGCTTGGCGGGCTGCCTGCCTGCTTGGCGGCCTGCCTGCCTGCTTGGCGGCCTGCCTGCCTGCCTGCCTGCCTGCCTGCCTGCCTGCCTGCTTGGCGGCCTGCCTGCCTGCTTGCTTGGCGGCCTGCCTGCTTGCTTGGCGGCCTGCCTGCTTGCTTGGCGGCCTGCCTGCCTGCTTGGCGGCCTGCCTGCCTGCCTGCTTGGCGGCCTGCCTGCTTGGCGGCCTGCCTGCCTGCCTGCTTGCTTGGCGGCCTACCTGCCTGCTTGGCGGGCTGCCTGCCTGCCTGCTTGGCGGCCTGCCTGCCTGCTTGCTTGGCGGGCTGCCTGCCTGCCTGCCTGCTTGGCGGCCTGCCTGCCTGCTTGGCACGCACATACTAATTCATGCTTGCAAACCATACTAAGGTAATGAGGATAATCAGGACCTAAGACTACTAATCACTACAAGATCACTTGGAATATCTCCAGAGATGATCCGAGACATGGATACTAGACATGAACACTGACAAATGCAAGGTTATGAGCATAGGAGTTGGAGTAAGAAGATCTCATATACAGAACAGGATGAGGGGAAGGCTACTTCACACTTCTGGGAAAAAGAGAGTCTTAGAACTGAACATGACTTGAGATCTATCACCACACATCAGTAGAATAGATCAGAGAGTTGTAAATAGATGGAAGGAACTAGACGAGAAGCAGGCTGGTGTGTTAGTTATAAGATAGACGAGAGAGTACCCTTCAGGTAGGAAGCAGAGAGCCACAGTGAGTGGAGATGGCTGAGTATCTTGAGGTTATCTTGAGATGATTTTGGGGCTTTAGTGTCCCCGCGGCCCGGTCCTCGACCAGGCCTCTATCTTGAGGTTATCTTGAGATGATTTCGGGGCTTTAGTGTTCCCGCGGCCCGGTCCTCGACCAGGCCTCCACTCCCAGGAAGCAGCCCGTGACAACTGACTAACACCCAGGTACCTATTTTACTGCTAGGTACCAGGGGCATAGGGTGAAAGAAACTCTGCCCATTGTTTCTCGCCGGTGCCCGTGATCGAACCCGGGACCACAGGATCACAAGTCCAGTGTGCTATCCGCTCGGCCGACCGGCTCCCTACAGGCTACAAAACGATTATACAACTCATATAAGCCTATGATTCTAATGTATATATATATATATATATATATATAGATATAATGTATATATAATGTATATAGATTATAATGTACAGAGGAAATTAGATCCTTCACTTCAACACGGCCAGAAGATAAGGAGATCCTGTGGTCCTGGGTTCGATCCCAGGCGCCGGCGAGAAACAATGGGTAGAGTTTTTTTCACCCTATGCCCCTGTTACCTAGCAGTAAAATAGGTACCTGGGTGTTAGTCAGCTGTCACGGGCTGCTTCCTGGGGGTGGAGGCCTGGTCGAGGACCGGGCCGCGGGGACACTAAAAAGCCCCGAAATCATCTCAAGATAACCTCAAGATAGAGGCCTGGTCGATGACCGGGCCGCGGGGACACTAAAAAGCCCCGAAATCATCTCAAGATAACCAAGATTGAGGCCTGGTCGAGGACCGGGCCGCGGGGACACTAAAGCCCCGGAAGCACCTCAAGGTAACAGCGACGTTTCGGTCCATCCTGCACCACTATCAGGTCCACTGACACTGGACCAAAACGGACCGAAACGTGTTTTTTTTTATTTTTTTTTTTTTATTGGTGGTGGCATCGTTATCTTCTGGTGTGGTTATCATAGCCACATAAAAAACAAACTAGAATGCTAATTCCTGAGAGAAAAGGCTATTACGGGCTCGCCATAGCCCGTGCTACTTGGAAATTTTTGTTCCAAGTAGCGAATCTTTAACAACAACAACATTCCTGAGATAAGGAACTTGTGCTAACAGAACACACTGAGGGAGCGAGACATTACCCAACTCCAGAAGAGGAAAGATAACAGGACATGATAACGACATACAAGATTCTATCAGGAACTGGCAAACTAGATGAAGCAATAGTGTTCAGAGCCAGGGGCCAGATTCACGAAGCAGTTACGCAAGCACTTACGAACCTGGGGCCAGATTCACGAAGCAGTTACGCAAGCACTTACGAACCTGGGGCCAGATTCACGAAGCAGTTACGCAAGCACTTACGAATCTGGGGCCAGATTCACGAAGCAGTTTCGCAAGTACTTACGAACCAGGGGCCAGATTCACGAAGCAGTTACGCAAGCACTTACGAACCTGGGGCCAGATTCACGAAGCAGTTTCGCAAGTACTTACGAACCAGGGGCCAGATTCACGAAGCAGTTACGCAAGCACTTACGAACCTGGGGCCAGATTCACGAAGCAGTTACGCAAGCACTTACGAACCTGGGGCCAGATTCACGAAGCAGTTACGCAAGCACTTACGAACCTGGGGCCAGATTCACGGAGCAGTTACGCAAGCACTTACGAACCTGGGGCCAGATTCACGAAGCAGCTACGCAAGCACTTACGCACCTGGGGCCAGATTTACGAAGCAGTTACGCAAGCACTTACGAACCTGTCCATCTTTCCTCAATCTTTGGCGGCTTTGGTTACATTTATTAAACAGTTTACAAGC